TTTCTGTCCGTAGTGCTCTCATTTTCTTCTGTTTTCCGAATTATTCCTCTCTTATTTTCATATTTAAATAATATCCTGTGTACGTGAATTTTATACAATTCTTGTTATATTCAATGTAATTATAGCGATTCGAGAGTGAAAATATGATTTCCGTGTTCATGGTTTCATCTTAATCTAACCAAGTGTGCGTAAAATGTCACTTTACACACAGTGCGTCGAACTAATACTTTTCATCGCGATGTGTCGAAAAGTATTATTTCGACATTCATAAACTCCCAGGCGCCAAAAATCACTTTTCCGCACTTGTTACGAAATGTACTATTTCTCTACGAGTTCAACCATAATGCGCGCTGAAAGCGAAATACTATTAGAGGCAAGTATTATTAAAGATATATTTGAATTGTTTCCCAAGACCCGAATGAGAAATTGTAACTTTCGGATTTGAAGAACAGAATACTCCCACTCAGGAGGAAGAATTGTAAACTACAATTTGGGAGAAAAGAAAGGTTATAAAAAAGGCATTGGGAAGAAAAAAATAAGAGAAAGTAAACAAATAGAATAATTTGAATTGGAAGAAAAAAGTGAAAAGTGTGCAAAAAGAGAAGAGAAAGACGGTGAAGATGGGGGGGGGGGGGGCAGGGGGAGTAAGTGGCGCGTGGCAATAAGTATCGGATACTGCCAGATGGTACGGAGTCGAGCGGCAGCTGTCCCCAGGATCTTGCATCTCAAAGAGTCCCGTGAGGGCCCACAAGGCCCACTGGTCTCTCGGTGCTCTTTCTTCTCGTTTCTTAACAATCGGGGACTCCTGGCTTTTCTCCCCATTTTCCACGAAGCTGTGCATCCCCCTCCCTCATTCAGCAGGTAGCAAGACCACGTCAATAAACCATCACATCTTCAAATTTTCTATTTCCCTTTTCAAACCTGTTCTTCCTCCATTCCTTCACCCTCCAAATTTTCAGTAGAAAACATTTTTCGGAGAAATCAACAATTCCGATTTCTCTGACTCTTGCAAACGCGTGAGAAAATGGCCGATGTGACGTTTTTGATCAATTTTATTTATTATATAATTTCGTTTTTAACATAGGCTGTGAAATTATATGGAATATGATGTCTCTTTTACATATAATCTTGATTTGACTAATTATCTCAATTTATGAAGTCATTGCTGATATCTTGTCATTTTTTAAATCTTTTTCAAATTTTTGGGGAACGATCGATAAAATTCATCTGAAAAAATATACCGTTTGTAAGTTTTATTATTATTGAATGTCCCGAATCGAAAATAAAATATCGAGTTTTCATAGCATTTAATTTAGCTCCGGTTTTCCATATATTTATATCATTTCGAATGCATAAATTCCTGGAAATTGGGTTTTTGTTGTGCATTTCAATTGCATTGGCATATATTGCATCTAGTGTTGTTGATACGTGTAGTCCTGTAGTAGTCTGTAAGCCACACCATTCACGTCCATTCTGTGGTTCTTATAAAACCACAAGCTACTGTGCTTGTCGTTCACAGCCGTAATTATAGCCTCTCGGATGGCGTCTGCTATTCAATCGTTTGACATTGATTGCTGTCAGAATTCATTTTCACCATTTTTTCTCCAAATTTTTATAATTAATTCAACTTTACAGTTGAATTGACATTATGCGGGAAATGATTCATCGCGATTTAAAAAACTGATTAGTCTGGGAAGTACTATACCGAGAAACAATCTGTAATTACATAAATTCCATGAAATAATTGCTTAGAAATATCTTTTTTTCAATAATGAATTTTACGTGTTTTTCTTCCTCGAGTCATTCTCGACATCTTGGAAACAATAGTGCATCACGTTACTTTTATCAATCATTTCTCAGAAGTATAAAAAACTTGAACAATGAGATAAAGATATATTTTTCAATAATGAATTTTACGTGTTTTTCTTCCTCGAGTCATTCTCGACATCTTGGAAACAATAGTGCATCACGTTACTTTTATCAATCATTTCTCAGAAGTTTATAAAAAACTTGAACAATGAGAAGATTTTTCAATTTGATGATGAGATTGGACTCCTAAATTTTGCTTCTCCTAAATTTTTTCTACATTCTATAGAAATTCTATCGAGGAAAAAAATATAATTTTGATTTAAATTTTTATTCATTCCATAGAATCTAAGAGAAAAAATCCAAAAATTGTATTTTTCTTCGTGGTGTATCGTATAATGATACTAACGATAAAATAAATACGTTGAGATGAGATTGTAAAAGTCTTCTGCTCCGCCCCAAATTCAATTCTATTGTAGCCGTAGTGGAGCCTCAGGTAAAGTAAAATTCTTTTGACACGGTCCATAAAGAGCCCAAAAGAATGTGCATTGAGTGCGATGTATATGTGTGATGAGCATAGATATCTCGGAAGACAGACGGCAATTGTTTATCCCCAGATTGAAGAGGAAATCTCTTCCTGACATTAATATAATATTCTTACCTCTTGTGAAATTATCAGAACAGCTGTGGCAAATTTTCGATAAACCACCGGACAAATAAGGACGAAGTATGGAAGCAAAAGGTGAGCAAACTACCTGGGATAGGGTGTGTATACATATATACTCCCACCTGGCGATAAGTATTTTTTTCAGGTAAAAAAATCTGCACATGCCAAAAAACGTGCTGTACATAAAAATGAATTAATGGAGCTTCAGTGGGAGTTTGCAGGTGACTCGAGAAGGTGGTGCAGAGATTCGGTTACTTGGTATTTTTCGGGGTTTTGCCTCGATAGAAACAGGACGCGTTGAGGGGATTGGAAAGGAAGTGGCTGAGGGTCGAGGGCGAATATCCTTCCTGCCTCTCACTACACCCCTCTATTTTTTGCTCTTTCATTTCACTTCATCTACGACTCTTCCCTACTCTTCCCTACACGTTGCTTTCTTAGAGCAGCTGCTAGGATTTTTTTGTGCACGTGTCATACCACTGAGCGCATACTAACTCTCAGTATAACACCATACGCACTAGAATGCGTGCTAGGTGGCTCTCTACCTATATTATAAACACCTATATACCTATATAATATGGAGACATTACTGTGCATTCATCGATCTTCAGCCCTTGTCCATCTTTCCAGTCTATTCCCACTCTCACTGGGCCTCACTCTCACTTTCAATATTACAGTGGTAAAAATTGAGACAATAATTCCTTTGAATTTTCTTCTTAGTAAATCTTAATTGTATTTGATATTTAATTTTTGCAATAAGTTTGAAAATGCAAATTTCCGCAAAAAATTAATTCTCCCTTCAAAAGGACAAATAACATTTTCTGCAGTTCTCAAGATGAATGAAAAAATGTACATTTCCAGTTTGATATTGCAAAGCCAAATGACAATGCGAATAAAATATCAAACAGTGTATTTAAAAAAAATCTGAGGCACGCTGATATTTATGAATTATCTGAATTTAATGTTTTTTTGTGAGAATAGAGGCAAAGAAGGGTCCGGCGTATATGAGACACCTTGAACCAAGAGGTATAGAGTTAGTTTGACGAGACAAACCGAGAGGACGTCTGCAGAGTGTGGCACGTGCCATATGAGAATAAAGAGAGAGAAAAGTCGGTGGTACAGAGCTGGAGATGGAAATGGAGAAGAGTGAGCACCAGGCTGCAGCATCCGTGCCTAAAACCCGCGACCATCTGTTGCTTCCTCTGACATTTTCATTTAAGCCGATGTGCGGAAGCGTTTTGACGCGTATGGTCCTTTTTTTTTCTTCTCATTCTTTCTCACAGTTTCCAACCGCAGGAAGTCCCTCGCATATGTACGTCGATTCGAGACTATACCACTGGGACATTTTTTTCCGCTTCCTTTTTCTTTTTTCATTTTTTTGTTTGCTTCCAAATGGAAGCTTTGTAATCGTCCCATTTTCGGATTTCCTAATTTTGCTTGGAAATTATATGTTTGAAACGTTGAAATCCAAAATTTTAGCGCCATGTGTGCATGTACGCATGGTCAACTTCGCCCGATCTTTTAGAAAATTAAAGGAATAAGTGGTTGAACTTATTCCCAGGAATGTCAAACTTCATCAAATTATAAGTATTACTGAGGACTAAGCCTGAGGAAAACTTCAGCTCAATGGGTTGAGTAGTTTTCCATAAATTGCCATTTCGTTCTCAATCGTTTTTCACTAATATCGTAAAAACTTTTCAACCGATTGCAATTTCACCTCTCTAAATATTCGTCAAAATTTTCTCTATCAATCCAACTTTTGTGTTTTTTTGCCAAACAAATGTGTTAACGCGGTAACGTTGCGAGAAATTGACGCATGAACTCGGAATTTGACATGAAGTTTCCGTTTGGCATTGAAGAAGAGCTGATTCGGATCATTAGGTCATGCGGTATTTCCATGTTTTTTTCAAAATAATACAAGACTAAAGGGCATTTCCAAGTCACATACCTCACCATATAAAACTTTTAAGAATTTGTAACAAATTTTCCAATTTGACACATGAGCAATGCAAAATTTGAAGCTGAAACATTTGTTTTGAGTTTTGAGTTTTTCCTCTAGCTATTCGGAAACACTATCTATTTATTGATAGCGATGAAAGATTGAAACAATCACTCGAGGACATGCTGACTGTCACGTTCTCGATATTCAATGCTCACAATCTTTGCTTGTCTTTTCTGCTTTTCAGTATCCTTGGTGGAGTTCGAAGAGAAGACGATTAAGTTATTTAGATGGTTTGAGGCG